TGTTTCAATGCCAAAAGCTCTCCTTTTAAAAGGTTTACTTCCTTTTTATTATAAAAATTATGTAAGAAAATTATAGAAACTTTCAAAACTACGGTGAGGAAAATCAGCTCCAAGCAACATACTAGTAGTACACTTCTAAGTACATTTTAATAATAACAATTTTTAACTTTAAATATAGAACTTACTTGTTACACTAAATAAATGTTCAGAGAAACAGTATATATTTTTGATGTTTTTAATATAAAAAATCTTCATATCATTAAAAATCATATATAAAATTTCTACTATAAAACCATATTCACAGAAATGAGTCTGACCAAATATAAATTCATTTAAAACCAACCTTATACAATATTCAAATGCTATATATTAATATATATTCAATGTTGAAGAAAATTTGATTTCTTTCCCTTCCTTGAGCCCACATTTTTCTTCATAAATAGAACCGCTTCTTAAGTGTACAGTGTGAAGAAAAAATTTACTGCAAACTTAAAAGTTCTTTTTCTGTTTGAAGACTTCTTTTTGTAAAATGTAATAAAAATACCTATGTAATATAAAGAATACTTTATAATCAATAATAATTAAATAAAATCAAGTCTAAAATTGCATTTTTCAACACGCTGACGTCTAAATAAATTTTCAAGGCTTATTTGCCAAGATTTTTACAGTCAAGGACCTTTATTTTGTATTTATTCCCCCTCCCTGTAATTTACTTTATCTTTTTAAACAGAATAAAACTATTACGAAATTAAAATGCTAACATGTGTGTACTTTATGTTTTACTTTCTAGCTGTTTTTCGTCACTGTAAACCAGAAAAGTCTCCCGCACTCAATCGGACGCCGTCTTACCTTCTGGTTTGTTGTTTTTCCTCTTCAGCCATTTTTCTACAGTCTCTGCACTAACACTTTCAGATACAAATTCATCTAATACCTGGGGGTGAAGAGAAAGATATGCCTTCACTTTTTCATCTGTCAAACCTGTAAAAGAATTAAAAAGAATAAAATTAACTCTTATGACATCTTCATATGCATAAAAGACAGAAAAATGACGTCATGCTAAGACTGATTTAAAATGTAAATCTAAAAAGAGTATAAAGATGCGTATACATACAATGGGATATTATTCCTCCATAGAAAGGAATGACGTTCTGATACATGCTACGACGTGAAGGAACCTTGAAAACAAGTAAAATAGGCCAGACACAAAGGACGGATACATGGTTCCACTTACGCGAACCGTCTAGAGTAGGCAAAGTCACAGAGACAGAGCAGAGGAGGAGTTAGCGGGGGCTGGCGAGGGGCATGGGCGTTAGTGCTCACTGGGCGCGGTCCGCCTTTGAGCTGAGGCTTAGTTTGGACGAAGACGAAGCAGCGATTGCACACACTGAGTATAGTTAATGCCACTCAACTGTACACTCGATACGGCTAAAATGGCAAATTTTATGTTACATACGTGCTAGCACTATAAAAATATTTGAAAAGGTAAAGTTAGAACTTCAGTGATTTTACATTACAGACGTCGCATCACGAAGCGCAGCTGTTTTCCGACAGTAAATGCCAGCGTCACGGTGGAACGGGTGCCGCGTCCCAGAGCTGCGCAGTCGGGCCTTTTACAAAGTACGTATTTTTCGTGTGTAAACAGTTATCACAGATTTAAAATTCAAGGTGCACGCAACTCTAGTAATAGTACCAAACAGAAGAATATAGCACTGGTGCAACTCAGGTGCTTTAATACCTTCAGTGAAGAAATCCTTATCTTTCATTGTTTACAAACTCTTTTTCTCAGAGGCACTAAATCCAGTGATGAACGTTTACTTCAGAATAATCTTGAAATCTGTTCACTGATATTCTATGTATGTAGTTAGTTTCACCAAAATAATTTTCATGATCTAATGATAACTGTACTTTAATATACACAGGATTTTCCAAGTACTTTTGCCTGTTTTCACATCGAATATATAAAATTTTGTTTTCCAATTGGTGGTTCAAGTTGATATGCCATTTCATTGACTCCAAATCACCAACAGTGACAGTCACCGTAAATAATTCCACAGCAGAAGGGTACCATTGGGAAGGCAGCCCATTTCTTCCAGTGAATTCGGCACTTAAATGGCCAATTTTATAGACAGAGATCTGGATATGTAATTATATGGTTGTAATAGAGTTTTAAAAAAATTGAGAGCCTTGTCTATGTTCACCCTGCAAAAGGGCCCCCGTGATGTAAAATTCAATTCGAGAAATCCTGCAAGGTGCCTAAGACAGAGACTCATCACATAAGAGCGAGCCCCCCACGCCCAGAGCTGGTTCCAGTCCCCGGAGGCAAAGGGCACACGACGAAGCAAGCCGACAGGTGCAGCGCCCGTCCCGAGGACAGGCCACGCGCACGTTTTCGTTATGTTCTCCACAGCGGTACATATGTGATATCTGCTCCCTCCTTTAAATTTCCTACCATCTCTTTCGTGACACAACGCTACACAGTTTTCACCCTGACTTCCTGTTTGCTCTTCACTTCCGCCTTCTCTGCAGTAATCTGTGATGCTGATGCTGACGGCGGGACCTGAGTCAGGAGTCTCCATGCGTCTTTGATGTCCAGACCTTGGGTGTTCTCTCCCATCGCCTCAGGCTCCATCTTGACTGCAAACTCAATGCGTCATCCCCTTCCCACTTCTTCCCAAAGTGATTTTAACTCTCGTCTTTCCTTTTTCTCTTACTCTCCATTTTCTCAGAAACCCGGGCTGAAAATACAAACTCATAACTGACTCATCCCTCCTCGTCATCTCATTTTATCTTAGCACACTATTATTTATTTACACGAGTCCTATTCGCCAGGTCGCAAAACTACATATCTGAAGAATGACTTATATCTGAGATACACAAAAATGCTTAGACACAAGGAACACCACCCAATCAAAAGTGACTCAAAGATCTAAACTGACACTTCGCCAAAGACACAGATATGACAAATAAGCATATGAAAAAAATGCTCAATTTTTACTAATGAACTGAAGTTAAAATAAGAAATGAGATTCTACTACATACGTATAAGAACGGTTATTTATAATCAGAGAAACTGACAGTATCATTTGTTGGTAAGGATGAGGCATAACAAAAATTCATTCATTGCTAGTAAGAACACAAAATGGCAATCACTTTAAAAGACTTTTTGGCAATTTCTTATAAAGCTGAATACGGTCTCACCACGTGACCCAGCAGTCACGCTACCAGCTATTTACCCAACTGATATGAAGACTCGGGTCCACACACAAACCCGCATGTGAATGTATACAGCAGCTCTGTTCACAATCACCCAAGACGGCAAGAACCCAAGGAGCCCTGCAACAGGCAAAGTGGATACACAAGGTGTGCGGTGTCCACAGAATTAAACGTGATTTGGCAACAGGGAGACATGAGCTAACAAGCCGTGAAAAGACAGAGATTGCTCTTAAATACATACTGTTAAGTGCAAAAAGCTAGTCTGAAAAAAAGCCTGCATATTGTACAATCCTAATCATACACAACTTTCTGGAAAAAGTCAAAACTACACAGAGAGAGAGGAAAAGCGCAGTGGCTGCCAGGTGTCCCAGGGGAGGAAGCACAGCATCCTGCTGGTGACGAAAGTACTCTGTACCGTGTCATAACGGCAGACACGCGACCCTCGGCCTTTGTCAAAACTCACAGAACTTCACAGCACAAAAATAAACTTTAATGCGTAAAATTTTTTACTTTAGAAGGACAGAAGGCAGAATGTGAGAAAATAATCTAAATGTCTGAAACAGTCTCGCCGAAGGAGGCGGAGGACAAGGTGCTGACCTGTGTAACTTTGGAAATGAGTCTATAAGACCAACGGCAAAGGAACTGCACACAGTCGCAGGAGTCCAGTGAATGAAGGTGTTGCCCCGTGGGGGAAAGGGTCCATAATTCAGACACTGCCATTCGTGTTCACTGGAACTGAGCAGTTAAATCTGCGGATGGTGGGAATGAGGTTGCTCGGTGGCAGCGTGGGATCTCGCAGACGAGCAAGAGGAGCAGCCCAGAATGATCCAGTTTAGAAGGAACAGTAATTTGGCTGGCAACCTGAAGGGTGCATAAGGAACAGCTTCCTTCTGATGCTGAGTAATTCCTAAAGAGGCAGACAGACAGACAGACAAAAGCCACAGCTATACCTCCTACTTCAGGGTTCTGCCAGGGAACCACAGAGTCCTGATGGAAAAGATGAGACTCATTTGGTTTTAACGCATGGTAATGTGAAATACCAACAACAAAACACTGCACTGTGCATCTTTTTTTTTTCTTATCTAGTAACACTGAGCTACTTCTGTCTTCAGAGAAGTCTAGCAAGCTTCGAACTATGTAACACGTTACGATTCTACCCGTTTGCAATCCAGAGATTCAGCGTTTGCAGATGAAGAGTCTGTGAATGTGCGCGCATGCGCGCACACACACATATAAGTAAGTCTAAATCTTTTGTAAAGCCACACAGAAAAACATAATGGCTTCCCAGGAACTCAACACCTGGCTTCAACAATTAGGAACTCGTAGCCAATATCGTCGATCTGCACCCCACCATCATATAAATTTGAAGCAAATCCCAGACATCATTTCAAAACATTCATACACGTCCATATGTATCTCAAAAAGAACTATTCTAAACACAAATGATATTATCAAAGAATAATGATTCTCAGTACCGCCAAATATCCAGATGCTCAAGCTTCTTATTCTCGATTGTTTTTCATGTTGCCCCTGAACCTGGACCCCGGTGAGGTCTGCATGCTGCAGCTCTGGCATTTCTCGAAGGTTCCTTTTACCCTGTGGTTCCCCCGCCATCGCTTCCATTCTCCTCGTTGTCATTTATTATCGCAGAAAACAGATCTTTTGTCCTATGGTCTGCTACAGTCTGCATTTTCTGACTTTGTCGCTGTGGTTTTGTTTAGCATGTTCATCTGCCCCCTGCAGTTTCTGAAAACTGAACTTAAATCTGGACCCCTGCACAGAGGGAGGTTCGATTTGGGGGTAAGGAGGCAATTTTGCTAAGTGGTACTGTGTTCTGCCAGAAGCTCACGCCACCTGGCCCTCTCCCTGTCTATGACGTCAGCAGCATCAATGGTGCAGAGTTACTAATTCATTCATTAGGGCTTGAAAATGGTGGCTTCCTATTTCTATAATGCCGTCTTCGTTTACTAGGTGAAGTAATAAAAGAAACTTTATCTACTGTTTGGCTAGTTCATATGGATAAAAGGCGGGGTAGATGCTTAATCTGTTTCCCTGTATTCAGCAGTTTCCACATGACTGGTTCGGCAGTCAGTCTCCTGTGGGCGAGCCACTGAAAACATCAAAGTATTATCACGGAATTATGTATCTGAACAACCTGATCTGTCTCCTCCACTGTAACATCATCCTTACCCGCACTCGAATTGTCCCATCTTTTTGGGCAATGGGAGAAGCCTCTTCAAGATGACTCCGTCACTGTGACAAGAATCAGATGGCCTTCGGAGGATCGCTAAGGCCGGATGCTCTGGGTTTGGCCTGTACATTTTCTGCCCCAGAGCTGGAGGCAGATGATTTTCCTTAGGCTCTCTGGTCCCTTTACTGGGCAGTAGGATTTCGAGGCCTGGAATGATGGGCTCAGATTACTTACTTACATGTACCATGCCATCCACACACATACGCACACAGTATATGAGCGTTATAAACAGATAAAGGGGTTTTCTCTTTTTTGTCCTTTAGGATACCTTATCAGATAAATGAGCAAACACTGTATTTTAAAGTCACTTGATGTCTACAGCCATGCTATCCTGAACAAGCCCGATCCCATCTGATCTCGGAAGCTAAGCAGGGTCGGGCCTGGTTAGTACTTGGATGGGAGACCACCTAGGAAAACCAAGTGCTGTAGGCATAAAAAATAAAAAAATAAGGGATTGTAAGCTGACAAGGTCTTTGCAATCTGTGAGGTCAACCAAGGGTTGCCTTGCCTAAAA